AGAGGGAGAAGCAGGCTTCCCGCTGAGCAGGGAGCCCGATGCGGGGCTTGATCCCCGGACCCCAGGACCATGACCCAAGCCAAAGGCAGACGCTTAATGACTGAGCCACCCAGGCGCCCCTGAAAAACTCTTAACTAGTATCGGTGGTTTGGTACGAGACTGTATTCTCAAAAGCCTGACCCTGAATGTTCTTAGCAACATCATTCATAATAGTCAACAAAGTCGAAAACAACTCAAACGTCCATCAACTGATGAATGGATAACTATAATGTGGTCTGTCTGTGTCATGGAATATTCTTCAGTCATAAAAAGGAATGAAGTACTGATAACATGCTAAGTGGAAACGAGCCACAAAAGGTCACACGTCGTATGATTCCATTTCTATGAAATGTCCTCAAGAGGCAAACACGTAGAGACAGGAAGTCAGTTAGTGGCTGCTGAGGGCTGGGGAGTAACTGCTTTATGGGTAAGGAATTTCTTCTTGGGGTGAGGACAATGCTCTGGAATTAGACAGTGGCGATGGTCGCACAACTCTGTGACTAAACTAAAACTAGCGAACTATAAAAAGAAAAAAGGGGACCGTGTTAATCGATTACTTGAATACTTAGGGAAGAAGGGCAGCAAGAGCACACGCGCCCATCGTGGCCTCCACAGCGGCTTACCTCGCGCCTCTCGATTTCCTTCCTCCTCTCCTCCTCTCTCTGGCGTTCCAGTTCCCGCTGCTTTTCCAGCTGCTTCTCCAACTCCAGCTGCCGCTTGCGCTCCTGCTCGTGGCGCTCCCGCTCCTTCCGCTCCTGCTCGGCGCGCTCCAGCTGCGCCAGGCGCTCGTGCTCCTTTCGCTGTTGCTCCAACAGCGCTTGTCTCCGCTTCTCCAGCTCCAGACTGCCGCGCTCGAAATTCTCACGCTTCTTATCCTCAAATGTTACTTGAAAACGAGAAGCAGGAAGATGCTGGAAAGTCATGATTTGCAACATACTCTTTTCAAAGGAAAATTCAGGCACCTTGGAGAGGTGGAGTATAAACGCAGAGCTCCCGAAGCTTCCGACCTGCCTGTGCCTCACGCAGAAGCGCCACGACACCAAAAATTTTTATTTTTTTTTGACACCAGAAAACGTTTAGAACAAATAATTGAGTAAAACTGCAGAATACAAAATCAATATACAGAAATTGGTTGCATTTCTATATACTAATAATGAACGATCGGAAGAAATTAAGAAAACAATCCCACATATGATGGCATCAAAGAATACAGATTAAAACCACAATGAGATACCACCTCACACCAGTCAGAATGGCTAAAATTCACAAGTCAAGAAACGACAAATGTTGGCGGGGATGCGGAGAAAGGGGAACCCTCCTACACTGTTGGTGGGAATGCAAGGGGGTGCAGCCACTCTGGAAAACAGTATGGAGGTTCCTCAAAAAGTTGAAAATAGAGCTACCATACGATCCAGCAATTGCACTACTGGGTATTTACCCCAAAGATACAAATGTAGTGATCCGAAGGGGCACGTGCACCCCCAATGTTTATTGCAGCAATGTCCACAATAGCCAAACTATGGAAAGAACCAAGATGTCCACTGGCAGATGAAAGGATAAGGAAGATGTGGTATATATATACAATGGAATATTATGCAGCCATCAGAAAAATGACATATTGCCATTCGCAACGACATGGATGGAACTAGAGGATATTATGCTAAGTGAAATAAGTCAATCAGAGAAAGACAATTATCATATGATCTAGCTGATATGTGGAATTTGAGAAACAAGGCAGAGGATCATAGGGGAAGGGAGGGAAAAATGAAACAGGACGAAATCAGAGAGGGAGACAACCATAAGAGACTCTTAATCTCAGGAAATAAACTGAGGGTTGCTGGAGTGGTGGGGGGTGGGAGGGATGGGGTGGCTGGGTGATGGGCACTGGGGAGGGTATGTGCTACGGTGAATGCTGCGAATTGTATAATACTGATGAATCACAGATAATACATTATATGTTAGTAAATAAAATAAAAATCACAAATAATACATTATATGTTAATAAAAATAAATTAATTAAAAAAAAAGAATACCTAGGAATAAATTTAACCAAGATGGGGAAAGACCTGTATACTGAAACCTCTAAGACGCCGGGGATGAAAGAAACTGAGACATAATTAAATGGAAAAGTACTCCATGATCAGAATCAGACTGGAAGAAATAATATCATTAAAATGTCCACACTAACCAAAGCAAGCTATAAAAAATTCAGTGCAGTTCCTATCATTCCAGTGGCATTTTTCACAGAACTAAAATAATCCTAAAATTTATATGGAACCACAAAAGACCACAAATAGCCAAAGCAGTCTTGAGAGAAAGAAGACCAAATCTAGAGCTATCATGCTCCCTGATTTCAAACTACACTGCAAAGCTATAGTAACCAAAACAGGATTATCGGCATAAAAACAGATACAGATCAATGGAACAGAACAGAGAGCCCAGAAACAAACCCATGCTTAAATGGTCAATTAATTTACAACAAATAAGGCAAGAATATACAATGGGGAAAGAAAAGTCTTTGCAATAAATGGTGCTAGACACCTACCACATGCAAAAGAATGACACTGGACCACTTTCTTCTCACACCAGGCACAAAAATTAGCTCAAAACAGATTAAAGACGTGAATGTTAGATCTAAAGCATAAAACTCCTAGAAGAAAACATAGGCAGTAAACTCACTGACAGTGCTGATGGAACACTGCTTTTTGGAACGGACTCCAAAGGCAGTAACAATAAAAGTAAAAACAAACACATGGGATTATGTCAAACTATAAAGCTTCTTCACAGCAAAGGAAACCATCAACAAAATAAAAAGCCAACCTTCTGAACGGGAAAAGAAATTTGCAAATCATATATCTGATAACAGGCTAATATCCAAAATTAGGGGGCACCCGGCTGGCTCAGAGGAGCATGCGATTCTTGATCTCGGGGTCATGAGTTCGAGCCCCACACTGGATGAGAGATTATGTAAATAAATTTTAAAAACAGATAAATAAATAAATAAATGGGAAGAGGATCTGAATAGACATTTTTGCAAAGAGGCCACACAGATGGCCAATAGGCACAGGAAAACATGCTCATCACTCATCATCAGGCAAATGCAAATCAAAACCACAATGAGAGGTCATCTCACACCTGTCAGAATGATTATTATCAAAAAGCCAAGAAATAACAAGTATTGGAGAGACTGGAGAAAAGGGAACCCTCCCAGTTAGGAATGTGAACTGGTGCAGCCCCTACAGAAAAACAGTATAGAAGTCCCTCAAAAAATTAAACAGACAAACAAAAACTGCCATATGACCCACCTACCACCTATTCTACTTCTGGGTATTTACCCGAAGAAAATAAACGCATCAATTCGAAAAGATCATTATAGCATTGTTTCCAATAGCCAAGACATGGAAACAACCTAAGTGTGAATCGACGGAAGACTGGATAAAGAAAATGGGGTACATGCACACACGCATTATTACTCAGCCATAAAAAAGAAGGGAATCTTGCCATTTGCAACAACATGGATGGACCCTGAGGGTATTATGTTAAGTAAAATAAGTCAAACAGACAAAGACATGTATCATATGATTTCACTTACATATGGAATCTAAAAAACAAACTCAGATACGGAAACAGAATGGTGGTTATCAGAGGGAAAGGGAGTTTGAGGGTGGGCGGAGAGGGTGAAGGGGATTAACTGTATAATGACAGATGGTAAAACTACACTTAAGTGTAGTAATCACTTTGCAGCGTTCGCAATATTGAATTATGCTGTACACCTGAAACTATTACTATATACCAATTTTACCTCAGTTTTAAAAAATCCTAAATTATTTGCTAACATACTCTCCCCTCCCCCACTTATAATCTTCCTAAAACAACAGCTCTGCATCACCACCAACCTCCTTTCCCTCCCTATTACTCTATGTTTTTCCTTCTCCATCACCTTGATTGAGCAACTGACCCCCATCTCCCCTGCACCATGAATCTCCCCCACCCTACCTTTCTCCTCTTAGTTGGTAACTGTGCTGATGTGTCTTCTATTTAAACAAATAAGACAATTTCTGAAAGCAGAGGTAGGAAGGTGAGTATCCTGTGTTTCAAACTATGTCCTAATCAGTATGGAGATCACATTCAATAAACAATTTTTTCTACTCCATTTTTCAGTTTCCTTCTTTGAGAACACCAATTAATGAATTTTAGCCTTATTTCTCAGGCCAATCATTTTTTCTCTAATCCTTGCTAGCATTCTGTTTACAACCACTTAATTTTCCTTTTAAAAGAAAAAAAAAAATCCTGGGGCTCTTGTGTGGCACAGTCGGTTGAGCATCTGACTCTTGATTTCGGCTCAGGTCATGATTTCAGGTTCATGGGGTCAAGACCCATGTCGGGCTCCACGCTCAGCGTGAGTCTCCTTGAGATTCTCTCTCTCTCCCTCCGCACCACCCCCACCCCAGCTCATGCATGCACCCGCTCACTCTCTTTCTTTCTCCTTCCCTCTCAAAATAAATAAATAAAATATTAAAAAAAAAAATCCCAACCTCCACGTCCCTTATGTTTTCAGCGGTGTCCCTTCAATTTCGTGTTTGCCTCACATGCTTCTCCCTCAGAACCACCCCGGGCAAGAGAAGCTTGCATCACCCGCCGGTGTAGCACGCCATTCCCATTGTTCTCTATTACAAGAACTGTCACTTCATACTTTGTCTTGAGATCGGTAGCTGTGAGCATCCTTTCTTGGCTTCTCCCCACATTCCCCATTTGGCCTTCACTGCTTTAGAAAGACATTCCTCACACATTACAGTTATGGATTAGACATGAAACACGGCAAGTGTGTTTTGGTTTTCTTTTCCTTCTTGCTACTTTCGTGATTGCAGAAGGCAGCATCCATTTCACTAGGTGACCTTAAAACTGAAAGTCCCCTCAAGCACAGAAAGGAATGAAATAATGATACATGGTACAGTGTGGATGAGTCTCAAAAAGAGGAAGAGAGAACTACCTCTACTTCTCTCTTCCCATGTGTTCATATCAAGGAAAAGTGATATGAGGATATAAAAGAAGGCCACCATCTGCATGCCAGAAAGAGAGCCTCACCAGGAACCAAATTGGATGGCACCCTGATCTCAGACTTAATGGTCTCCAGAACGGTGAGAAATTCACCCTGCTATTCAAGCCACCCAGACTGCTGCATTTTATTATGGCAGCCCAAACTAAGCCACTGAACTTTTAATGATCAATTTTCTGTTATGTGAATTTTACCTTTTAAAAAATACCTGAAAGTCCCTACACATCTTAGTTCCAATATCTGGCCCTATTTCTGCTACATAGGCGGCAAATAATAAATGGCTACTGAAGGAAGGAACGAATGAACACAAATCTCTGATGATGTCACTTCCTGTTCCGACTCTAAATGAATGTCTACCACCAAGAGTAAAAGAAAATCGCAAATTCAAAGGATTCCTGTCCTTATTTGCCTTTGAGACTTCATTCCCATTCATTCCCATTATTATCATCCTGAAATGTTATTCCTTTCCACTTGTAATGACCCTATTCAATCTTCAGTCTCAACACAACTGTGACTCCTCCAGAGACCCAGCCTTTCCAGCCTATGCCAACCAGTGTAGGTAAGCTCTGCTGTGCATCTGTGATACTGTTTTTAGGGATTTATTGCACTTATATACTGCTTTGATGATTGTTTATATGGATGCCCTAAATCCTCAATCATATTATAACTTTCTAGAAGGTAGGGACCACATTTTTAATGTTTAAATTCTTCACTGTACTCAAAACATAGCTTTGCATAAAGAACATTTTCTTTTTTGGTTTTTTTTTTAAAAATTTTTTTTTTTTTTTTGAGAGAGAGAGAGCAGTGGGAGGGGCAGAGGGAGAGAATCTCAAGCTGACTCCCCACTGAGTGCAGAGGCTGATGCGGGTCTCACTCCCATGACTCGTGAGATCATGACCCGAGCCAAAACCAAGAATTGGATACTCAACCGACTGAGCGACCCAGGCACCCCAAGAACATTTTCTTTCTTTCTTTCTTCTCTTTCTTCTTTCTTTCTTTTTTTTTTTAAGATTTTATTTATTTATTTAAAATGGACAGAGAGAGGGCATAAGCAGGGGGGAGTGGCAGAGGGAGAGGGAGAAGCAGACTCTGCTAAGCAGGGAGCCCAATGCGGGGCTCGATCCCAGACTCCAGGATCATGACCTGAGCCGAAGGCAGATTCTTAACCAACTGGGCCAGGCGCCCCCAAGAACATTTTTAATAATAAGTTTATCAGTGAACAAAAACTAATTTAAAGAGGAAACTGGAAGAGCTAGTGTCCTGAGCAGGTCAGTTAACCACTGAGCACTTTAAATGCAGCTACATGACACGGACAAAGTATTTAATATAAAGAGACTCCATAATAAATTTCATTAGCTTCACAGTATCAATTATCATCTCATCATTAATAATCCATAGCCACCTTAGAATATTTTAATAGTGTGATGGGTTTATCACTGCAAATGAGGATTTTTAAAAATAGGTTCATATTAAATTTAAAATAGCTTTCTGTCATTAAGGAGTTTCCAATTCTCTTATAACAACATCAGAAAATAACAGTAGGGAATTTCACATTCTATTTCTACACTGCTGGTATTGAGCAAACACCATAAAGGTTTACCAATTTTGACTGTTTTATAAATAACATTTATGAAATTTTTGTATAGTGGTAAATAATCAGATTTCAATTTAAAAGTTAGAACAAGGGCGCATTAGCAAAGTACATAATGTTCTTATTTCTCTACATATATGCAAATCCAAAAGCATATTAAGAGTGTGTCCTTTCGGACTAAGGTCAGTTAAAGGAACACAGCAAGCATGCCAGAAGCTAAATTTAGTTTTACCTCCATCGTTGCCTGAAAGGTAGAACATCTCTAATATGATGTCAAATATAAAGACTGCCTTACCAGGTAATTTCTTCTCTAGTTGTTGCTGTTCCTCTTCTAAAACCGGTTCCTCTGGTAACCTCTGATCGACTGCCGTTGAGCTGATGATAGATATACCACTGCCAGATCGAACTCGTCTGCAATTGTGGGAAAAAAGATTCATACATAAAGCTGTCTAGGTAGAATTGAGCAAATTATGGAAAAGAATTGTTAAAGAGTATGCCACATCATGGAGTACATTTCATTTATAGCGAGGAAAACATAAAGATTTGGTCCTCTTTATTTACAAAGAGTTTTTTAAAAATGAGTATGTGAATATCATCAGACTCTAGAGTGCCCAGCTCGTTCAAATGTTTAGAGCCATCCCCCAAATCAGGGCAATTCCAAAGGACTGAATTAGTGAATCATCATCACCTGGTCTAGAACAGTGCCTGGGTCACAGTCAAGTGCTCACTGTTGTTATTACTACCCTTTTACAGAACATTAAATCCGCCAAGGGAAGATGAGCAGCTCAGCTGAATGGGAGCACCTCTTTTCCCTTTACAAAGTCTTTCTGTCCATTTTATCTTATAATAAACACATGAAATAGTACACATCACAGGCCCTAAAACAAATCATTTAGGTTACTGATTAGTTTCACCTTAAGCCGTTAACCTTGCTCTTTTATTTTTTTTTTTTAAGATTTTATTTATTTATTTGACAGAGAGCACAAGCAGGGGGAAGCTGCAGAGGGAGAGGGAGAAGCAGGCTCCCCACTAAGCAGGGAGCCCGATGTGGGACTCGATCCCAGGACCCTGGGATCATGACCTGAGCCGAAGGCAGCCGCTTAACTGACTGAGCCACCCAGGCGCCCCAACCTTGCTCTTTTAAAGCAATCTACCTTTTCGTCAATGCTTTTCTATCAGCTTCCAGTCTTGTGTCTCTTACAGTGATCCATGCAGCTGTCAGACCGCAGAAACACTGCCCAGCTACGGTTTCTTCCAACAGCCACAGATTTCTCGGCTCGCTCCACGTACACACTGACAGCCACGGCACACTTTCTCTTACTTTTATGGGGTTCTCTGCACACAAGCCACCCCACCCCCACCCCGGTCTTTGAGGAATCAGGACAGAAATTCTTACTTTTCTTTCTTTTTCTGTTCTCTGTGCTTGTAAGATTTCATATTTGTCTTTTAAAGTTAAAGCCGTGAGACGTCGTTGTCTGAGAGGGGAGGTGTGCAGTGTGTGAAGGTAGACCAGTCACTGCACATTCCTCCCAACTGGACCTTGGTCTACTTTCTTGACAACTCCACTGAAACTGTGTTTCAGACCAGGATAATTTTCTTTAATTAGCTTCCTGATTATAATTTCTACATTGCCCGTATTTTGTTACCTAACCAGTGTGTAGAATTCACAGGCAGAATCTCCCTGCCTTAGTTTCTATGCACAGGTTAATATGGTTTTACTTTGTTAAAATTTTTGGTGAACTTTGATGAGATAGATGGGTACAAAAATCGACAACCTTTTGATGTTTTACTAATAGACTCGAACTATTTTAAAGAACGGAACAGGCCCGGGGTCCCTGGGTGGCTCAGTCGTTAAGCGTCTGCCTTCGGCTCAGGTCATGATCCCAGGGTCCTGGGATCGAGCCCCGCATGGGGCTCCCTGCTCGGCGGGAAGCCTGCTTCTCCCTCTCCCTCTCCCCCTGCTTGTGTTCCCTCTCTCGCTGTGTCTCTCTCTCTTTGTCAAATAAATGAATAAATAAATAAATCTTAAAAAAAAAAAAAGAGAGAACAGAATAGGCCCAAGATGAACACAGGACCTAGATAAGAACACTTTCTTGAATTCATGGATATTTCATTTACTTGACAGGAATGAAAGTGGCTAAGAGAGACACAGCCAACAAAACCCAGTTTGAAATTCACAGAGCAAATGCACAATTTCTTGTAAGAGCCAAAGGTTCCTTACCTAAAGGAAGGTGGAATGTACTCTGGAGGCAGGACAGGTGGCAGTGGTTGGCCAGACATCGCGACATCAATTAGGTGCATTGCCAAGATAAACTCTTCTGCTGTGAGTTTTCCATCTTGATCAATGTCCGAAAGATTCCTATTCAACAAAAAGTTAACCATATTCTAGTGTCATGAAAATGCATGTGTGTTACTATTCACAAGTGATCGCAATGTTCTGTTTCCTTATTCCGACTCTAGGCCAGTTGAGTCTCTCTGTGCCTCGGTTTATAAAAATAGTACCTATTTCATAGTACTGCTGCAAAGATAAAATGAAACAATCCAAATCGTTGGGATGGTGTTCAGCATTCAGCAAATGTTAACTATGATTATAATTATACTCTTCTCAAGCCTTGCCAGCCCATTTAAAACGTATCATACTCACATTCTGTGTGTCTTTAAACACTATGCTCAGCAAACTATCGGGTCAGATAGTAAACATTTAAGCTTTACAAGACATGGTCTCTATCACACTGAATTCTGCCCTTTTGGCAAGAAAGCAGCCATAGATACATAAATAAATGGGCATAAAACCTCATTTACAAACACAGGTGCAGGCCAAGTTCTACTCATTTAGGTTAGCTTGCTAACTGCTGACCTAGACCTACAAGGGTGGATCTTTATGGCCTTCAGCCGGAGTCAAGATGTTTGCTGCTCCTTAGTCTCAAGATTCAGTGGCTACCATTCCTCATAATCAACTTGCCCTGGTAGTTAATGAGAATAAAGAGATTTTTCCAGCAAGTCTAAGAATGGGATTTTACTTAATCATTTCTGGACACCAAAAGAGGATGCAAGACAACAAAGACGTTCACCAGAATGCCAACAAGACAGATACTACATTGGGAAACTGGCTTTGCTGATGCCATAAAATCAAGAAATTCCTCTTAAATCTGAAATTTCCTTGGGTGGCATAAACCAGTTTTTATTAAAGGTGTAATGTCCATACAGTGACATTTGCCCTTTCTAGAGTACAGTTCTGCAAGTTTTGACAGATTCAGTTGCATAACTGAATTCAGTCGTGTATCACAATACATAGAACAGTTCCATCACCACGCAAAATTCCCCTGCATTTCTTAGTCACCCCCTTGCCTTGCCCACAGACCCTGGCAACCAATGATTTCTTTTCTGTCCCTTGAGCTTTGTATTTTCCAGATGCCAGAATCCTGCCTGTTCTTCCTCATCGTCTCCTCCTTCCCATCCCCCACTACAGCAACTCCCCGGCAAATTCAATTAGAAGGCAGGTGGGATTCTTTTCCGCCCATACTTGCCTAAATAATGGCTGTAAACACTTAATTAAAATATCTTTCTATTGTATAGAAAGGGAATATAATACCATGCAAGTAGGAGAAGACTTGAGTATTTTTTTCAAAGAAGGCAGGTTATAAATGAGATACTGAAGCATTTCAATATACTCTAGTGTCACGAGAACACCTAATAAACTACCAATCAACCTCCATAAATGTTACATCTCAAGTTTACATTTCAGAAGGTCCTAGGATACTGGTACATACCCAGACTTAAGAGATCTGGATGTGTCATATTAACTGGTCTATTATGTTTATTACCTGGTCTATTATTATTATATTTCAAAGGAAGACCCTTTAATACAAAGCAGAATGAACCAGGATGGGTGAAGGAACTAGAACTAGAGTGTGACCACTTATGAAGCAACCGTATCAATGGGCCCTATGGCAAAATCATGAACCTCGATTCATGCAATTAAAGTAATCAAAAGCGGGTGCCTGGGTGGCTCAATTGGTTAAGCGACTGCCTTCGGCTCAGGTCATGATCCCAGGGTCCTGGGATCGAGTCCCACATCGGGCTCCCCGCTCAGCGGGAAGCCTGCTTCTCCCTCTCCCACTCCCCCTGCTTGTGTTCCTGCTCTTGCTGTCTCTGTCTCTGTCAAATAAATAAATAAAATCTTTAAAAAAATAAAATAAAATAAAGTAATCAAAAGCTATGAAAAATCCTTACAAAACAGGGGCGCTTGGGTGGCTCAGTCAGTTAAACATCTGACTCTTGATTTCGGCTCAGGTCATGATCTCAGCGTTGTGAGATCAAGCCGCATGTTGGGGTCTGTGCTGGATGTGGAGCCTGCTTAGGATTCCCCCTCTCCCTCTGTCCCTCCCTCACCCTCCCTTCCTCCCTAAAAGAAAAAAAAAAAAAATCACTGCAAAATAGACATTTATGTGCCTTCTGATGAAAGTACACTGCAATATCTCTGATGTAGTCTTGCCGAAAACAAAAAAAATCAAACTTGAATCTGATGAGTGGTTCTCATGAGTGGGATGATTTTGTACCCCAAGGGACATCTGTCAATACATGGAGACATCTTTGATTGTCAAAACGGGAGATGGGGGGTCATGTCCCTGGCATCTAGTAGGTGGAGACCAAAGATGCTACTAAACAATCTACAATACACAGAACAGCCCTCCACAATGAAAAATTATCAGGCCCAAAGGGTCAGTCGTGTTGAAGTGTAGAAACATTGCTCTAGATCCAATTAACCATACACAGGAAACCCAGGAATAAATTAACACAAGGAAGCAACCACCAAAAGATAGACTAGAAGAAACTACAGGATAAACAATCTGGGTTTTTCTTCTTTGGGGGGATCAGAGAACATGGGGGAGTTTACAGAACACTTAAACCAACTGATGCAAAATATAGATTTATTTGCATGATTTGAACAAGTCAACTACAAAAAATTATGAGCCAATCTAACGAATCTGATCACTATCTGATTAACTTAATGATAAGATTTACTATTAAACATTTTTGGTGGACTACTGATAGTACAGTCTTCTTGAAAAAAATCCCTATCTCTTTTGGAAATACAAGCTAAAATATTTGCAGATGAAAACGATATAATCACTGAGATCTGGCTTAAAATAATCGGGAAGGAGGAGGGGAGAACCAGGACTAGTCACAAACTGAGACTTACCATAAGCTGTGTGTTAGAGAATTCATTAATCTCTCTGCTTTTGTATTTTTCAAAATCAAAAAGGGGAAAGAGTAAGAGAGGTGATCTTCACAGATCATTGGAACATTAAGCATAATTCCTACATCCCCACCTATAAATATTGGTATTAATCTAAAGACCCATGAAGCCATACCAATTTAAGCCACTTTATACAAACCAAGGAACTTTTTATTCCTTACCATATTGAAGCCAGCTGAGCCTGTGGCAAACTTGATTGCATAAGAATAGTTCTTGCTTGGGGACCTAAACAGAAACCGGGGGAAGAAATATAAAGATGAATCAGCAAATCTTCACTGTCCAGGAAGACCAGTGTTGTGCACATAAAGCACTGTGCAACCTCATGCAATCACAATGCTTTAAACAATATTTGCTATTACCCAAGGGGCTTTTTCAACAGGAAATTAAGCCCCAATGAAAAGGAAAAAAAACAAAACAAAACAAAGCACACCACGGCATCTGGCACATACTCAATAAATTCTTGTTAAATGGATGGTTAATGAAAAAAGAGTATGTAAAAGACTAGAGTTTCAAAATGTAACCTGCCCTTTTATCCAGATTATCATCTCTATTTGTATCAGGCTTTTATTTACAAAGCTGAAACTTCTTGTCTCTAAACTCAGCATCTTCTGCCACTGTGTGCTGCCTCTACCAGGACCACTATCGGAGAAGATTCAGAGAATCTTAGAGGAGAAAGGACCTTAAGAGAGGACAACTCTTGTAACTGTTTCATTACAGACTTGAAAAAAAAAAAAAAGGTCTTGCTCAAGGTTGCACAGATGGCTAATATCACAACCATTTCTTATGTTAGCAATAAAGAATGCCTGGAATTCCAACTCTGCTCTCCAAATCACCTCTCGTTTCTTAAAGTACTTGTAAATATCTTCACCTCTGGCATGAAACTGGGCTTAGATATCAGATAAAGTCTACAGTGGGAAATTCTGAGTGTTGAAATAAACCAGTGCTGGGAGAGAGACACCTATGTCTTCTATCCATCACTGACTCTCAAGGTGTGGTCCCAGGACGACCGATGGACCAAGGAATGGAGAGTTGTAGCAGTTTGGTTGGGAAGACTGCCATGTATAAATTTTTGCTTTTAGCTGTTTCATTTTTCAAATGGCACCTCATCAAAAAAAAAAAAAAAAAACCACAAAAGTGGATGTGTCTTTGCAGAGCAAGCAGTAGCAGTTAGGGGCCTCTGAGAATCGCCCCCGAAGTGTCAGCACAGGAAGTGCCCGAGAACTTGCCACGAGACTCAGGCAGGCAGTTTCCTCATTAGTTGGACCCGGTTTTCTCATTTCAGATGTCCTTTCCAGATTTACCAGTCTGTGCTCCATCAAATAAGGAACTATAACATGGAGCTTAATATAGCTCTAGCACATAAAAAATGCTAAATTAATGGTAGTTAATATTATAGACAATATTCGAACTTTGATTTACATATAAAATGTGGGCAGAAAAGCACAAATGAACATATACATACGTATTTTCACATGTGTACAGGTACACAGCTGAATTTTCCAAACTGAAAATGGTCAAGTAAATCATACCTAGATTATGAAACAGCACCCCAGAAACCCTATCCAGTTTCCCCCTTTTTTTAAGAGAAGGGGAGGTGGGGGTAGAGAGGGAGTGGGAGAGAGAGAATCTTAAGCAGGCTCCACGCCCAGAGCAGAGCCCAGTGAAGGACTCCGTCTTACCACCCTGAGATCATGACCTGAGAGTCAGAAGCTAAACCAACTGAGCCACCTAGGCGCCCCAGCTCCAGCTCCCTTCTAATCATCCCCCCGACCAAGTGTTGCCCAACTTCTAACAGCACAGTGCGCCCTTGGTAAGTCTGGCTTATTCTGTTCCACAAAGTGTATGCAATTGTAGGACATTAACCCTAACTGTTGTGTGGTATATCATTTTGTGAATATGTAACAATCTATGTATCCATTCTGTTGATGGGCATTCAGATAGTTTTCAGTTTGAGGCTATTATGAACAGCGAACCTTCTAGGTTTTGGCAAACATACGTACACATTCCTGTTGGACGAGTGTGTGTGTGTGTGTGTGTG